CCTCTATTTAAAATTAAATAGGAAGATGTATTTTTAGGTGGTAACTTAAACAGAAAAGTTTCTTTTTCCTGATAAGTTTACTCTTATTTAGTGATTTTGCAATTAAACGTGTATTAAACTCTCCAGCAAATGAGTAAACTTTTCAACTCTGTGAATATTTGAACCGTATCTTTTAAAAAGTTTCTAATTTTTCATTTTGTACCTCCTGTTTGAGGAATTCAGTGAATGAAAAATGTCCTGGTAAATGCCCTTTTTGCATAAATACCTTAATTACTTTTTAAATGCAAGATAACAGTGATTATTCAGCTTGGAGGAACGTTTATTAACTCAAAAATGCCTTACAGAAAGAAATAGGCTTAATTTCACTCAAACCTAAAACTGAAGTGAAACTGTGATCTCAAGTTTCCCAGGAGGGGGCAGTGTTTAGCTTCCTACCAGCAGGAGTCTATGACGACTTCCTGTGACGTTCGGTTGACATCCTGTTGTTAGCCGCTTAGCTTAAAGTTAGCTTCGGCTAAACTCGGTTAAAATCAACATTTCTGAACGGTTGAAGCGTAAACTTGGCGTTTTTTCAACAAGCATGACTTTTTTGCATGAACAATGAGTTTTCAGGGACATGTGGCAAGTTTTAATTAGTGATTTTAAGCACAGCAAAGGCTACGGTTGCAACCGAGCTCATTTCCGACATGGAGGAAGTGACGTGACACGTCACTCATCCGGTCGTTAGCTGTTAGCTTAAAATTAGCATCGCTAGCGTTGTTCAAAAACATCATTTAATGACGGATTTTAAACTCAAACGTGGCGAAATTTCAGCGATTATGCTTCGAAGACACGAAGCATCGTATCAGAATCAACTTTAAAGCGCTTTTCAGCTATTAAAAAGCAGATTTTATTCCCTATGAAAACGAGTTTTCATTTCCGGGTCACTGACTGACACGTCTCTCAGCCAATGAGAGCGTTCCACGGCAGCTAATTCAACCAATCACGCAGCGTTTTCCCCAGCTAGCATGTTAGATTGATCTGAACAAGTCCGTCAACTTTTTCGTCTTTTAAACTGTCAAAATGCACTTTTTCCTGTTAAAAATGTAATCAATAAACTCTGAGCTTAGCTGAGACTTTGTCCAGTCTTTAAAACGTTTCTCCATCCATTTAAAACAACTCGTTCGATCTTTCTCAGAACCGAGCCGGAACCAACAGAACCTCTGTCTGTTTGGACCAGTTTAAACAGAATAAAGCGTTTTAACTCAAACCCAGCTTATGTTACACAACAGATGTACAATTTCAGCTTTCATAAAGACATATGACTCACAATTTCAGCTTCAAAACATTGCCAGCGTAAACATGCAGAGTCAAGCTCCAAGCGGCAGCTTCAGCACGCTGCGTTCAACACAGCTAATTCTCTGCACTTTTTCTTCATGCCAACACGTAAAATCAATCTTTACACGAATACACAGTCCATTTATAAACACGTCACGGGCCACCAAATGTAGATGAACAGATGCTGAGATATATTCATCAATTAAAACGGATTCTTCATTTTTCTGGACTGAATAAAACGTGCATTGAATTTAATGAAATGTAGCGTGAGACGTCATTTATCTTTGACCCATCAAAATTAATGTGGTCATTTATTTTACAGAATCAAAGTTTAACATCAAACATTTACATTAATTTGGCAGAATATGAGAATAACAACATAATCAATCAGCTTTACAACCAGGAAAACCATACGGCCATGATTTTCCGTTGCTTCACCACAGACATTAATGAAAACTGTACAATTATGATCAATTATCCACACGGCGGTGGATGAGAACTTTGCTTCAGACATTTCTAAAAATTATCTGTAATGATTTTAGCAGATAGGAGAGTTTAAAGATGGAAAGATGGAGTTTAAAGGAAGTAAAAGATGGTGTGTGAGGGGGAGTGTTGACCAGAACCGACACTCTCCATTCGAACCCAGCTTTTCCTCGGTACGCTTGGTAGTAAACTTGACTCATTACCTCTCTGAAGATGAATCAGCAGATACGAAGTCCAGTTACGCTACCTGTCCAGCGTCTCCATAGGATGGCTGTGACTCGTCCGAAGTAGTGACGAGATTCCGTCCGACACAAGCTCACCTCAGCAAGTGGACTTCACATGAGTGGAGTCCTTCAGAAGTTCCACTCAGAGGTGGAAGATGTTATAATCCAAACTCGGAAGAGCCTTATCATGGCTGGACTTCTGTTCTCCCAAACGACTTCACAGAACTGCGAACATCTCAGAACTTCTCAGACTGGAGAACCAGGAAGTACCGGCATTTTAAAGAGCTCTATTTCCGGTATATTTGATAGTTCCTGATTGGTCAATATCAACCAGACAGGGGTGTGGTTTGTGACGTAAGAGGTTACTAGAAGTCAGAAAACAGCAAGAATTGTTATGGAACAGATTAAAACTGTTCTCAGAGACAGAGAGAGAGTTTTGTTTTGGCGAGTTTGGAGAAACAGGTGCCAACTTCTCTGTTTACGTCTGAGAGGATGTAAACAAGACAGTTGTTCCAACACATGTCTGCTTCGACTCCTGACCTTGGAAAACGCACACTTGCTCATTCAAAGACAGAAATCAGAAAATGCATGATTACTCTGTAACAGGCCTTAACATGAATTCTAACTTTGCATGAGGATTAAAAAATCATTACACTGTTTCACAGTTAATAAAATTGATTAGTTCACTACAACATCTAAAATGGTTTGAACTAAGACACTTTGATTATCAACATTTGTAAAATAGTAATGATAATAGAAAAGAGAGTGTTCTTTCACTTGAATTTTCAAGAAAGAAAGTCTCAGGATGGGTGAACCTGTATTTCTGGATTCAAATCAATGAAATGACAGTTTCTGTCCATCTGGTCAGTTTTGACATCAGGCCTAGTCCACTACAACAGGAAGGATTGAATAAAACAGAAACAAGAAAAAAAAAGCACAATGAGCAGCGACAGCCAGGATGCGACAGCCAGGATGCGACAGCCAGGATGCTACATCCAGGATGCGCCAGTGTTCACTTGCTGGAATTGGGTCTGCATGAGACATCATTTTGGTCTGGATCTGGACCGGAGTCCACCTTTTAGTGACCTTTGCTATAAGCTTAGTTTGGGCCGATATCTTGCGGGCCTGTGGTTCTGGATTGTTGAGGGGAAGAAACTGATTTGAAATGTGATTCAAAGCGGAAGAAAAAAATTCAAAACATTTGAAACGTGAACGGGTCGATGATGAACCGGGGACTTCGTTTTTGCATTAAGTTTACCTTGGGCTGTCACCCAGCTGGCCTTTGGTTTTTGACTGCTAACGTGAGCTAGCGTTAGTGGCTCTGTACAGCCTACGGGCTCTTGGCTAGTTAATGGTTTTTCAAAAGCACAGAGTCGAGCTTCCAGACAGCCTCCCCTCCAGAGTCAGCATAGCAAAACGTTTGATACATGTACCATTATCTTCAAACAAGGTAGTGTTATAGCTATACATCTGGCACACAATGCACGTTATGAAACCCGAAGCCATGCTTAGCTAAGGCTAGTAAGAACTAGCAGATCTTAATACACTAATAAAAACCAGAAGTCCTGAAAGATAAAGATCACAATGAATTAAGTTAAAGTTGGGGTTGCTCAAGCAATGTGGCAGGCAGTCTCTCAGCGATGATACGGTTTCAGCTTTGGGTGCGTTGAAGTCAGCAGCTCGCTAGGCCCAGCACAACAGCACAATGCAGCACCATGAGACTGGCTCCCTCCACTCTAAAAACAAATAGAATACAGCAAAAATCAACAAGGGGCAGAAAAAATAAATGACACAGTTTAAACATGGGCAACTCGCTTGATCTTAGCTTTGTGAGTTCAATTCGAGACAATCCGAACTAATCTGATTAGCTTAGCATACCACTGTAGAACCTCGCAGCAGTGATTCACATAACTCATAAACACGTAAGGCACAAAACAAGAACCAGCAAGGAAGCACTACAACAAAGTTAAGAAAAAGAGAAACACAGTTTGAAACGAGGGCGACTCGCCTGATTGATGATCTTTATCTCAGCTTTGTGTGCGTTGAATCCACTTAGCAGTTAGCACAACGCTGCCAGATCATGTAAGTAAAAAAATACCTAAAATAAAGTGTAAAACCAACAAACAACCAGCATATGAAACCAGCAGTTTAAAGAACAGCAAAAAACATTTTATACTAAGTGTGAATCGTATAAAGTGTTGTTAAATTATCTCAGAGTAGAGCAGAGCATATTTTCAAGTGTCTTCCCCAAGCAAACCAGAGCCGGAAGCTGAATAATGATGCTGTTGATGTCATTGAAGCACTAGGTGCAGAGGATTATTGTGCAAAACTTTACTTAGACCTGTCTAAAGTTTTTGACACTGTGAACCATGATATCTTGTGTCATAAGCTCTCAGAAATCGGTTTCTCAAATCACACCATTGTTTTTTTCACTATCTCTCAGATCGTAGGCAATGTGTCCAGCTCCTTCTTCCTCTTTTTTTTCTTGAACCAAGCCTCAGATCTGCAGTATATTTTCCCACATTAAAATTCTCTCAGCACTTCTCTCCGACATTGTTTGCTTCTTGCTGTCCTGTTAGTGAACACCTTCAAACTCCTCTGATCATCAAATCATCTCCAGCTGGGAGACGCCCCAGGCCTACATTCAGCCAGAGACGGGCGGGGCCTAGAGCTCAGCTCAAAACGTTACTGATAGACCACTACAAGCTTGCTATGGATGTTTAAATTACTTACAATATGTTAGTTTTTACATTCCAAAAAAAAGGTTAAAAAACAACTGGACTTTTATTCTGAAGCTGAAAATGTTTCGTTTCCCATCCGGGAGGCTTGATCAATTCAAAAATAAGTGAATTATGAATGTATAAAATTATATAATGTATAAAATACTGAATTAAATTTTATTGAACATGTTTATATTACATTTTATACAATGTTATATCAGTGTTAAATAAAATGTTATTGTATTTTTTTTCACAGGCTAAGTTGTTCAACAACTCGATCACTCTGATCAACACGTTTGGTTTCTCTGTGGTCACATTCAATGGATCGGTGGGTGAACCTGTGGAGCCCTGGACTTGTAGCAAATCCTTCCACTTGGACGAGGAGGACCGGCGGACTGTGGAGGAGCTACGATCTTGGGCTGCCAGCCAAGGTCTACGCTCTTTAGTTTCTTCTGCAGTCCCTCTGTCTGACATTCAGCCCAAATCTTACTTTGACCTGACCTGCCAGCTGCTGGCCAAAGCTCCTATCCAAAGCACCTGCACACTGCTGAGGGTAAGCAATTGATATAATAAAGCAAATACACATCAAAACAGTTTTATTCTGTTAAAAACTTCCATTGACCTTGTGTTTCTTGTGTTTTAATACTAAATTGTTAGAAACAATACAATTATTAAATTATTCAACATACTTATTAACATAAATTGAGCCAAGATTCCATATGACATATGACTGACACATGTCCTGTGCCCTCCTGCAGTTACAGATCAGCGTTTCCACATCATAACGCTTTTCCACATGTAATTATCTTGTTTTGCTGTTTTTTTTCCCTTATGTACTTTTGAATTCATTTCAATCCGTTTTTGCCCTGTAAAGGTTTTCTTTTTGTACTATTTGTGCTTAGTGTATTTTTAGTTTAACATATTTCTTAGTTCATATCTTAGATCTTACTATTGTTTTTCTTTTACATTTTATACATATGTTGGATGTAACCAGGACCCCGAGTACACAATTTTGTTTCTCCACATGTACGACATGTGGTGCAAATGACAAAGAACCTTGACTTGACTAAAGACAGCTAGGATTATATGTCCAAATGCCTGCAGAATGTCAGATTCAGTATTTGTTTAAATATGGATATACTGTAGTCCCTCATTTATCGTGGGATTTAGGGACCCCCACACACACGATAAATGAAAAATCACGAAGTAGGGATACAGTAGACCAAGTTCAAGTAAACTTTATTGTCATTATCATCTGATGTGGCACATGACATGGAACAAAATTATGTACACAACTAGTAGTAGTAAGTAGTAGTCCATTTTAATATTTACTATTGTAGTAGTGAATAGTAGTTAAGTTTAATATGTGTGTGTGTGGATGTACATATCTGTATGTGTGTGTGTGTATATGTACGTGTGTGTGTGTGTATATATATATATATATATATATATATGTATGTATATATGTGTATATATATGTATGTATATATGTGTATATATATGTATGTATATATGTGTATATATATGTATGTATATATGTGTATATATATATATATATATATGTTACGATTGCGCGGGGAACCCAGATGTTATGAGACCCAGAACGAGGCAGACACAGGGGAAGTACAAAAGAACAGTGTTTATTATTTACAGTGATATTATTAAAGTCCACACGCTGCTTCTCAGCGGCTTCTGGAAAGAGGGATGACAGGTTATTGTTTGTCCAACGGGGAAGACCAGAGTGGTTAGATTA